TTCCATGTCCTTGTAGTAATCTTCGACACTTCGGCTGCCCTGCATCATGGTTTGGAGCTTATGGTACAAGTCTCTTTGGTACTTACTTGGAACAAAATGCCTGCTCATGATACGCTTCAATGCAGCCCACGTATTGATAGCCAGTTCTCCACATCTTCGCCGACTTGTCATCTTTTGGTCCCACCAAACTATGGTGTAGTCAGTGAACTCTACCACAACCAATTTCACTTTTTGTTCCTCAGAGTAGTCATTGCAATCAAAGACCAATTCAATTCTCCTTTCCCACTCAAGGTAAGCATCTGGATCGGATCTCCCTTTTCAAGGAAAAATTTTCATTTTAATGCCTTTTATAGTGTCCCCAACTAGTCTTGTATCCTTCGCAGTCTCTTAAGGTGCTCTTCCTCATCATTAGAGCTATCAGATTCTTCTACTCGACTTTTGCCGTGGAACGATTTGGAATTGCTAGGTGAACTTCATGTTTTGTAAAGTTCTTCATGAATTGGCTCCAAAGCTTGGTCTAGCATCTTCGTAAATTTAGCTTCTAGCATTTCAGTGAAAATCTTAATATCAAATGGTTGAAGATTTTCTTCACCACCATTAGACATTGTTATATGAAACCTACAAAAATTGGTTAGTAATAAAAGAAATAACCTCACACTCTCCCTTATGTGTTTCACTCACACTCGTGTATCACTCAAGTGTATGTAACACTCTCATATTCTCATCAATTAGTTCTCAAGGCACTTGATTGCTTCACTTGAAGAAATTAGAAATTGCTCAAGTGTTCCAACCGACTTGTAGTCAAGAATCACTCAAGGAGTGGTTAATGATAATTCGGTTCACTTGGACTGAGTGTTGAGCTCAAAAAGGACTAGATTTAATTCAAAGGACTCGTGACTGCTTGCTAGAATTTGGACAAAGATGGATGAACCTGAGCGGATTAATTTGGACAAGGAAAGACGAAACCTAGATCACTAGGAAAACTCAAGGAATCTGAAACTGTTTTGAAATTAATGTGGCTGGCTGTTTTGGAATGAAATCTCCTACCCTTTCCTACTCAAATCAGGTTTTTAACTTCCTCTTAGTCAAATCCAAGAGGTACTAGGAAAAGGCTTTCAAATTGGAAAGAAATTTCCTTTGATAAACCACAAGTGACTAACGAAATTGTTTTGGAAATCCAACTAGGGTTTGGTGTTTCATTTCTTGATTCATTTTTTTTGAATTTGAATCAAGAAGAAATCAAGAATCGAATTTCCAAGCCAAAGTTGTCCATATTTTTGTTTATTTCTGCAACCAACACTAGACCTTCAAGAATGTAAGAATTCAAGTTTGGTTGAATAATAACTCAAAATTCCTCAAGGTCTTTCAAGAACCCTTCGAAAAAAATTCAAGAAATTCCCAAAAACTTCAAGAACCTGTGTCGCAGCTTAATAAAATCAAGAAACACTTCAAGAACGGGTCCAAAAATCAATCAAGTGTTCCAAGAAATTCAAACAGCCACGGATTGACACTTGAACTGCCATGAAGTGACACTTGAACTGCCACGAATTCATGAGTAAGCAGGTTTTTTTTGCTGGAATAATATCACAACTAAATGACACAAATTAACACATAAACTGAATGGAAAAACACGATGAATTCAACAACCAGGAAACTCGGGCAATTTCAACAAGAAAAACCCTAATAAAACGCAAACCCTAAACCCGATGGACAAGAAACCCTAAATGACAATCACGATTCTGGTTTTTTTTTTTTTACAACACAAGAGCCAAATGTAGTAAACCCTAGAATTGCAAGACTCACATGGATGACTCAAGAACAAGACACGGCTAACTTGAACAAACAATTAACAAACAACAACAAATGATCAACAAGAGACAAAAGGGATATACATGATACCGTCAACTAACTCTGATACCAAGCTGATAACGAACCCACCAAGATGGCTAGAACTTTTATCCCACAAAGCCCCGAATTTAGACTCATATATCAAAGTTGAAGTGATGGAAAACTTTGACCCTTCTAACCCATGGAGTTATGAACATTGATATGATCGTAACCCATAACTCAATAGAATAGCGAAGCAAAGTGTTGAGTAAAGCAACGCCACAACCAAGGGTGTTTCTTGGTTGATCAATCGATTGAATACTCTCAAGACAGTCTCTCAAATATTCAAGCAAGCTCTCAAGGAAGCCAAGAGAACAAATTCTCACAATTTATTGCTGGAAAATTCTGAATTATGACACAAAGTGCATGAGACAGCTTATTTTAACATTTGTCGAACCCTAGTTCCTACTCCAACAAGGAAACAATGAAAACAAGTGAAATTCCTACCCAAACTAGGACACATTACCTCGGGCAAGACACTTAACAGAGCTGGCCGTTATTCTCTACTAATAAACAACTCGAACTATTAATGAAATGTTGGAAATAATAACTAAACAATGAAGACTAATCCATGGATCAAGCTTGTACTCGAACTACTCCTCTTGAACTCGAATGTTGTGACCAACCTTGAAGTCATTCTCTTCCACTTCCGAAACTTGAAATAGGGTATAAATGGTCTTGTCTTGATGTTCAAGTCCTTCAATCATCATAGGTTGACCTACTTGATCTTTCACCGCATGAACCAAGACTTGTAGAGACTCCCTTAACTTCTTAGCTCGTGATCTTGTTATTAGTCCGACTGGAACCTTCATGTGTGTATCACCCTCACCATGTCCAGTCATGATCACCATCTCATCACTTTCTCACATGTTTTGATTTTTTATATGATCGATATATGCATAAAAGTAATATTTTAAATTCAAATTTTGCATAGTTGTTATTCATCCAAAACTGACAGTGTATACAAGATATATATATATATATCCCATTCTTGTTTCTTAGATTACTTAATTATTTTTTACCAAAAATCGATTCATGTCCTCTATTTGGATTTTTCATAATGTCATGTATTGGTTGATCTATTTAGTTCCCTAATTTTGACATTGTTCCAAACATGTCATATGATAATCATTCTCTTAACAAATACAATTTGCTAATCATATATACCAAAAATAATGTTTGGATTTGGTATAGGATTATAGATTGGTTAGTTTTATTTCGTTGCTAATTTTACTTAGTTCCAAACATGCTTACAATATGTAACCCTCCAATAATGTAATTAAATAAATGTAACAAAAATAACTATACATATCTAAAAGAAAAAATAATTTTTTTATTAGAGAAACTGTCAAGGTAAAATTGCATTGACTTGAGTCACTCACAAATTAATTTGGGGAAACAAATTATTGCAGTGATTTTCACTATGAGTTTGCTTTGAAATAGTGTTGTTCCTTAGACAAAAACATTCACATTATTTTGATAATTTTGTGTTCATCCACTCTTTGATGTGGGCTGAAGTTGCAGAAGAAATTGTAAATTGGAAAAAAAAAAAGTCTCAATTGACTCCATAGACCCATTTTTCTGCATTGCTTGTGTAGCTAACCAACTCTTCGGGCTTGAACCATAGGCTGATTTCATCCCTTACAGTCTTAGGGCCATCACTTCCATGAATAATATTCCTTCCAACCACAACAGCAAAGTCACCTCTGATGGTTCCAGGTTCTGATTTCTGTGGATTTGTAGCTCCAATAAGTTTCCAGTCGGATTTTATTACTTCTTCACCTTCCCAAACCATGGCAATGACAGGACCAGAGCTTAGGAAGCCACAGAGGCCATTAAAGAATGGTCTTTTCCTTGAGATCATGATAATGCTTTTGTGCAAATTCCTTTGAAGGAACCACAATTTTCATTGCCATGAGCTTAAAACCTTTGCATTCAAGCGGGATATAATTTTTGCAATCAATCCTCTCTGCACCCCATCAGTCTTGATGGTAACAAAAGTGCGTTCCAACTCTGCAGCATGTGCTTCTTGCTCTGTGAGCATGTAAGCTGCTGCAGGAAGGGCAAGGAGCCCTGAAATCGAACTTCTAGAAGCATTTCCTGGATCCACCTTGTCAGGCACGGCAAGAGTAGTTGCCCTTGCTCTCAATGAAACTACTGTTGTTCGCCCTTCGGAAAAGGCACGAGAGCTTTGCCTGCTGGAAGTAGAAAGAAGAGTCCTTGCAGCTCGTGTAGCATATCTGCAAATTTAAAATCTCATTTTCTTTCTTTTCCTTTTCTCAATTTATCTAATCAAAATTTATGAAAAAACCGGTTCGGGGTTTGAGGTGAAAAGGTCAGAAAGAGAGACCAACAATAATCGCAATGGATCTTCTGTCTCGCATCCTGTGCCACTTTCTATCCCACTTTTTATTATATTGCTATTTCTCTTATATAAACATCATGTTTTAGTTCTTTTTTATTTCCTTAATATCCAATAACTATTAACTTAGTAATACACAAAATTTAACAAACTCAAAAAATCAAAATGCATAAAAAATGAGATTTTTCATGAATTTTCTGCTGTATTTTTTAATTTTCTATTATATATTATTTTTTGGAACTTGTTGTATTTATTTTTTATTCAACTAATAGTTATTGAATGTTAAGAAAACAAAAAAGAAGTAAAACATGATGTTTATGTAAGAGAAATAGCAATATAATAAAGAGCAAATTATCCGATTGGCCACTAAACTTTTGCAATCGTCGAGTTTTGGTCACTCAACTATTAAAAGTCTGGTTTTGGCCACTCAAATATATAAAAGCGAGACGCGAGGCCATTCTGTTAGATTTAGCCGTTAACTTCATCGATGCGTCTGTTTGCACGATTTCCAATACAAAAAGCAGGGTCAATTTAGGAAGTTGAAAATAGACCTTCTTCTTCTTGTTGTAAAAAGCTAATAAAGATTACTTTACCAACTATTTATAAAATTAAAAAAAAAATTGTTTACAGAATAGGCCTGAAAAAATAGATGCAGCTACAAATATACCATTACACGAGTAACTCTAGCTCAGAGAAAAAAAAAACAACAGGAAAGAAAAGGAGAATTCAGCTAAAGAATAAGCACACAAACTCAATACTTGCGATGTTGAATGGGTATATTGGAAGCTTTCCAAATGGCAATTTTCTCAAAAGCTTCAATGGGAAGTACAAAATGTGCATTAGGGAAATTACAATGTCCTCCACCATCAGCTTCAAACCCATAATTCGGAGCACAAAAGTTAGTCGCAGTAACAATAATGGAAGTCCCAAGAATACACCATCTCATGTCCTGAACACGCCTAACTTGAAAGCAAGCTCCACAGATCTGACCCTTTTCAAACAGGACTTTACTGAGTGCAGCTGTGGCTTTCCCGTATCCCATTTTCTCCAGGTCCCCATAACCACAAGCCCCACCAACCGGGTCTCCCGGTTCCGCGACGGCGTAGTAGGTGGCTCTGGCGGATCTCCACTCTGTGTAGGAGGAGGGGGTGGAGGAAGAAGGGAAGTAGTGGTAGTGGGAGCGGACTAGCTGGGGTAGTGGGAGCGGACTAGCTGGGAGAGTAGCATTCATGCTACTCTCAGGTCCTAAATTGTCCCTGCCTTTTGTATTGGAAATCGCACGGACAGACACATCGATGAAGTTAACGGCTAAATCTAACAGAATGGCATCGCGTCTCGCTTTTATGCACTTTAGTGGCCAAAACCAGACTTTTAATAGTTGAGTGACCAAAACTCGACGATTGCAAATGTTTAATGGCCAACCGGATAATTTGCTCTATAATAAAAGTGGGATAGAGAAGTTGACTAAATAACAATCTTTGACCAACATAAACTAATTATCCAAGTTCATATTCCCCATAGAAATAATAATCATTACCATACTAAGCGAGAGTTCGGTTGCTACAGTGAAAATGGACCAGTTATCCGGTAATTTTCAACTTTGAGCGCATTTGGTATTGTTAGTTGGACAAGAAACTTTTTGGAGCAGTTGGTGTGCGTTTACTTTCCTTCTTCAGGTGTGTGCTTCCTTTTGCAAGTAAAATTCATAGATATCAGGCTGGCTTGTGGTCAACTGTCCGATTGTGCGAAATATATTACATTCAAATTAGGACCATCAAATTAAAATAACTCCTCTTACCAACAAAAAAAAATCAAATTAACTCCGCTCGGGAAGTTTATTGCATGGAAATTAAGACCGCTTCACAAATTAAGATCAGTGGTGAGTGGGCGATGTGTCAAGCAGTGTGTGGGAGCCGCATGGCCAAATGCTGCTTTGAAGATGACTTTCTCAGCAGATTGGTAGGCGAGAAAGCTTTATGCGAGTTTGAGCTTCTAAGCTATTTGCGAATTTCAGCTTCTAAAGATTTACGTCAGTTAGAGCTGCTGAAGATTTACGTGGCTTCTGTTTACTTACCATGTATGAATTTACATGTACCATTGATTAAATTCAGGTAGTATAACTGATAAGGTTCAGGTAGGGCATGAATTCTTTTTCTCCTTTCTTCAATTGTGAGACCACAGGCGGTTGATTGATTAGCGTCAGACAGAGTTTGAATCTTTTGTTTCTTGCTTCAATTCTGAGGCCAGCGGTTTGTTTTGTATTTATCAATTTGCTGGTCATAATTGAAGGTTGCATTCACGTGGTTTGCTTGTTTTGGTGTTGATGCATTTCTTTTAGAATTAAGGGCTGCATTTTTCTTGTTATATAGTTAAAGAGCTTAGTGGTTTGTGGTTAGTTATGATTGTGATAGATATTGATGAACGCTTAGTTTCGGTGATTTGTGAAGTGATTTTCTTGTTCAGCTCTTCATGTTTTCCTGTTCATAATTAAGATCTATATTTAACATAAGTAATTGAGGGTACTCGTTTCTGTTCAATTATGATTGTAATAAGAATTCATGAAACCTTAGGCCTGGTGCTTTTGTAAGGTGAACTCCTTACTCTACTTCTGCCTTGATCTTATTTTGTCTGCTGCACTGCTGTTTTCTTGCCACTTGTAGATTACCTACTGTTAAATCTGTTCATTTGTAATGAGATTTTGTGTGCGAGGTTCATAATAAACTATTGGTGTTAAATTTGTTGATCTGTCATTAGACAAGCAATTGGATTTTTTTCTGAATCAGAGGGCAAGCTTCTGTTCAGCAGAGGTAGTAGTGGATGCAGATGGGTTATAGTTAAACGCCTAATTGCCCCTTTTGCTTGGAGATTACTTGAGTTGTAACATAAAAGCTACTTTCCATAATCCTGGAGGAAACAGAAACACGTAAAAGTATGTTTGTAGCATCCATCAAGATGAATGTGTAGGTTTTGTTTCCAATAAAACAATTTTCCATCCCAGTGCTTTAAACGAGTAGGCCACTATTTCTGGAGGTCATTGTTCAGTGCTTGTATTCTTCTTATAGTTCCTTTGCTTTTCATTTCCTTAGGACTGAGTTCGTCATATTCTTCATTGTTTGCCGGTTTCTGTCCTTTTCCCTCTAGGAACTGTCTTAGGCTTTTAATTTTCAAGAATACTAATGATTGGGCTTGGGCATGTTCTAATTTGATATTCGTATTTTGAAAAGTTGATTTTAGAAAAGCTCAAAATCAGAATACCAAAAGCAGGCCTTTTTTAGCTTCTGATTTTGGATCTTTTAAGCTTTAAAAAAAATGTAAAAAGTTGATTGAAAAAGCAGTTCAGATTATTGCATTGTATCCTTGTGATATAGTTGGCAGAATCACAGCGCTTAGCATATATAAAGTTTCAGACCTTTTTGCTTCCTTCTCCTTATTGATTAGCTGCACTTTTTCCTTAAATACAAAAGAGCTCATTTCGCCAAACTTGTGGACTTCTAACAACCACCATTTGGTCCCTGTTCTTTCTCATTTTTGTTTCCGAGTGATAAAGAAAAAGTGCATCCAATATATTTGGCTTATATCTTTCCTTTTCTTGCTAAACACTTCAGTCCTATGCTATTTCTACTCCACTTTACCAAGCAGCCCTGGAAGGATCATTTGTGCAGCTTCATGGTTGTGCTATACCCGTAATCCAATAGGCATTGATACAACCCCTGAGCAATAGGAAATCATCGGTGATGTCATTCAGGATACAAACCATATTCCCTATTTTGATGTTACTTATCAATTAAATCTTTCTGGCTGCTTGAGATTTTGTTTGTTTTACTCTAAGCAGTTGTTCCATTTTTATTTTGCTTTGTGCCTGATAAAAAGTATGCTGAAACGATAGGGGTTCTTTAATTTGAATGAATAGAATTTATTACATTTAGATTTAATAAACAAACAGCAATGTAATGGTGGAAAAATAGCACTTCAATTAAGCCTTGTCTAGATTAACCTCCATCTATTTAGAATCAGGCTCAAATTTCGGCTATGATGGCAACGGGGCGGGGCAGACCCCTGTCTCACTGCCTACTAACTCCCCTGCCCCGCCCCGCTTCCCCAGCGGGGCGCCTACGAGGCTAATGAAAATTTCTTAGATAATTTTATTATAGTCAAATTTTAGCAAATAATCAAGTACTAAAATATCAACACAACATCAAGTTATTATCCATTATAATTTCATAATTGAAACTCATAAAAACAAGGGTTAATATCAGAAACCTCCCTTGAGGTTTCTTCTAATTACACCTAGCACCCCTCATGTTTCGAAATCACACTTAGCACCCCTGGAATGATAACTTTGGTATCATTGTCAACCCTTTATTATTTTTGTTCCACTTTTACCCTCCTTGTGAACTCTATTTATGTAACTCACATCCCTCCAACTTTGGTAACACTATAAAATCGTCCTTGAACAGTGTAACATGTTTTGAACATTTTGTAATTTTATGTAAACTTCTTGTACATATTTATAATAGATTGCGTTTCTGTTATTAAGTTTTATAAATAATTCACATAGAGTTACACATTGTTTAAAAAATGTTACATTGATCTGAACGGAGATTAAAAAAAATGTGACTATGGATTCTCATAATGGCAGCAATAGTTTCAATATGTGGTTGTAGTTGTAAATAAACTTGCTCTTCCATTTTTGTGAAAATGAGGTAGTATAAATAGCTTTTTGTGCATCCTAGTCGAATGGAGTTTGTAAGTTATTAATATTGCGATACCCTATTGTCAAGTAGAAATGGCTTGCTAATGCTATATACTCATGAATTCCCATCATCTTTAAACTACTTTTAGATTATGTTATTATTCACTTAGGAATTGCAATTTTGGCAATAACACTATGTCCATTGCCAAAAGTCAACATCACTGGAAACTCCATGGCTATTTAATATTAGGGAGTGAGATAGAAGCAGTTGTTAGATCAACCATCCCTAAATCATGTAACATTTTTTGAACATTTTGTAATTTTATATAAACTTTTTGTACATCGTTACAATAGAAGTGTGATAAGTTGTTAGTGTACAGATGGGTCCAATATGTAATAATTGTATTTGTGTTGATAAGTTTTACAAATAGTTCAATTAGAGTTACACTTTGTACAAAAAATATTACATAATTACAGAATAGTTTTACATAATTTAAGGAAAACCTCAAGGGAGGTTTCCGAAATTAACTCTACATAAATAGAGTTCACAAGGAGGGTAAATGTGGAACAAAAATAATGAGGGGTTGACAATGATACCAAAGTTGTCATTACAGGGGTGCTAAGTGTGATTTCGAAAACATGAGGGGTGCTAGGTGTGATTAGAAGAAACCTCAAGGGAGGTTTCTGATATTAACCCTAAAAACAATCAAACAAAAGTTATTTGAATACAATCCAACATGATGAAACAAATACAACTAAAGTTGTCAACTTTTCCCTTTTGACACAAATACAATTACTAAGTCATTATTGTATTTTTTTAAAGAAAAAATGTTATTGTGTTACGTGTAATTAGGAATTTTGTATAAATGTATTAGTAAATTTAGTATAACTAATTAATAATTTTATTAATAGACATATATAATTATTAGTATAATTGATAATATCAATTTTATTACATATAATAATATCCATTATATAATACATATAACTAATAAAATCATTATTATAAGTTTGTAACTAATTAAATTAAATATTATATATAGATATAATAGAAATGGGGGAAAAATTCCTTCCCCCCCCTCCCCACCTAGCCCCAACCCCACCCCATTAACCCCCCCGTGAGGCCGGTGCCCGCCCCAATTGCCATCCCTAATTTTAGCATGAAATCTATTGAGCTCAGGTTTCAAGTTCCAGTAGACACTATATTCTCTTCTTTCATACTTGACCTGAGCGTTTTATACTTCTTCTGTTTTTGTGAATTTATACTTTTGAGATTCTTTTTTTTTTCTCTTTAATAGTTATTGGCAAGCCACTATGCTTTAGTTCATTATTACTGGGAATCATAATTATTAATTGAATGCATTTTGGCATGTGGCATGTTGTAAGTTATGAGTTATATATGGCCTGCATTTACAAAAATATATTGAACTGTTAAATAAATATGTGTTGGATCCTGACCCATGAGTTTTCTACACCAATATGTGATGTGCTTGATTACAACAAGAAAATTGACCAATTTAATTAATTAGGATTGGATT